AATTTGGAAGTAAAATCCCATATTATCTCAACAAAGTAGGAAGTGAGATGCTGGAAGAATGAGAAACATGAAAGTGTGCTAAGATTCTTCTCATGTTTGGGGAGAAGAAATGGATAGTGTTTAACTCTATGCATAACTAAGTGAAAAGTGTGTTTAAGTACAGATGTTAAATATTTAAAGGTCAACCACTAGGAAAATAGAAATGGAATGTGTACATTCCAAACCATTAGAGGAAAACAGTGGACCAGAAAACCCCACAAAAAAAACCTTAGCAATTCATCAAAGGGAAGGAAAGGCAAAAGTAGAAAATAAATAAAATAAAATAAAACATTGAACATTGAAATTAGAACAATAAAATAAGATGGCAGGAATAAGATATTAATCATTACTAAAAAATTAAATGAGTTAAATTTCTCTATTAAAAGAGATACTCTAATGTTGGCTTGTTAGATTAGTGAGAAGCAGAAAAGAAAGGACTCTAGTAAGTTCAATCAGGAATAAAAAAGGAGAAATTACAACTGATACCACAGAAACACAAAATATCATCTATCAATACTATAAAAACCTCTATGCACATAAACTTAAAAATGTGGAGGAAATGGACAAATTCTTAGAAATACACAGCCTCCCTAGGCTCAATCAGGAAGAAATAGAATTCCTAAACAGACGAATATCAAGTACAGAAATTGAAGCAGCAATAAAAAACTTTCCTTAAAAAAAAAAATCCTGGACCAGATGGTTTCACACCCAAGTTTTACCAGACCTACAAAGAAGAACTGGTGCCTATCCTGCAGAAATTATTCCACAACATCAAGAAGGAAAGAATCCTCCCCAACACATTTTATGAAGCCAACGTCACCCTGATACCAAAACCAGGAAAGAATGCAACAAGAAAAGAAAACTACAGACCAAATCCCTTATGAATATAGATGCAAAAATTCTCAACAATATCCTAGCAAATCGAATTCAGGTGCTTATCAAAAAAATCATTCATCACGACCAAGTGGGCTTCATCCCAGAGATGCAGGGATGGTTCAACATACGCAAATCTATAAATGTAATTCACCACATAAAT